CACAGAGTGCTGAACCTCTCCCATCCTCACTGCACAGAGTGCTGAACCTCTCCCATCCTCACTGCACAGAGTGCTGAACCTCTCCCATCCTCACTGCACAGAGTGCTGAACCTCTCCCATGCTCACTGCACAGAGACTCTGCCTCTCTGGGAGGCTCTTTTTATACCCAATCATCTACTGACCTGTTGTCAATTAACCTATTTAACTGTGAAATATTCAACCAGGTGTTTTGCTTTAGCATGGCACAATTTTTCCAGTCTTTTGTTTCCCCTGTCCCAACTTTTTTTAAATGTGTTACTGGCATCAAATTCAAACTGAGGATATATTCATCATAAAACAAAAAAAATTTCTCAGTTTCAACATTTGATATGTTGCATTTGTTCTACTTTCAATTGAAAATTTCCTTCTGGATAAATAAAGTATCTCTATGAAAATGGACTTATATCATCTTCAAATCATTGCATTCTGTTTTTATTTACATTTTACATACACATTCCCAACTTTATTTGAAACGGGGTTGTAGGTACCCATTTAAAATTCAACATAAACCTATATTTCTTCCAGATTTATATTACTGAGAGGTAGCGTGGGCGACAGGATTCTTCGCACGGTCTATGGAATAAACCTTAGGGTGGGCTAAGCTTGTGACAACGTAGACCTATCCTGATTCCCCACTGGAGTCAGATCTGCCCTGTCTACTAGTATTCTTACGCACCATTTATTTCAGAAACAAAAAATTTTGTCAAAAATGACCAAAATATACATAAAAACTTAGACTCCCATTTTGATCTAAAAGCTTATCCATCCCAGGAGGATTCATTTTATCACACTGCTATCGAATTTGGTCTGAATAAAGTGAGGGGGGTTGAAATTGTTGATTGTTATCCAGACATTTTGGGACTGAGACAAACAGGACACGTCATTATGATGATATGCGCGTGGGTGTCTAGGTGTTTGTGCGTTCCTTACTCAATACTGCCATCTGCTGGATTCATAGTTGAAAGCGCAAAGACATAAACTCCAGGGGGATCTGGTTTTGCAAGACCATGAACTCTCCCTCAGATGTTGGGACCGATGCGTTCATTGTGCTGGATGGATCATGATAATGACTTTCCCCTGCGTAAAAGAAATATTCCCATAACAGTTAAATCTACTGGATTTTTATAACCACTGTACAACATCTTATCCTGGATGACACTGTGATGTAAGCAGCTAACTGTATTTGTATGCTGATCACATCCATCGGACAATCTCAACTTTTTAGTTTGGGTTGGTGACACAGGGAAGACAGAAGAGACAGTTGAATTGAATTTGCAGCTGTGTTAAGGTTTATGACAGGGTTAATCTGAAGGAGCGCAAATGTCTGTTTGTGTGATAGGATGTAACAGGGTCAGTGTGCTGAGGTACACCTTCAGGCAAAAGTCTTTTTAGAAAATGCCGACAGGCAGCGTGTCGCTCAGTGGGTTAAGCCTGTGTGCCTGTAATCACAAGGTTCAGCAGGTCTGCGGCTCCTTGACCAAGGTCCTTAACCCCCCAGCTCCCTGGGCGCTGCTACGGGTGGCTGCCCTTCATGGACAACTTACTCTACAAAGAGCAAGCTAAGAGAGGCTTAAAGACAACTTCCCCACAGGGATCAATAGAGTATCTATTATTATTATTATTATTATTGAAAACAGAACATGGATAATATCCACATTTTCCTCAAGATATCAGTATATCTACTGGGTCTGTAAGGTATGCATTTTCAATGTGAAGCAGCCATTTACCAGTCATCTGTATAGATGATTTTTTTCACCATTCTCTTGAGTGATGAGGCTGTAGCAGGTGAGAGAGCCCTGAAGGCTCATGGTTGCTGAAGTTGTTTGTGAGATGTTCATGTCGGAGTCTCCAGTGTGTCTGCACTTTAAGATCACTCACCAGCTGGCAAGTGGTGACACTAACATTATCCAAAGCAAGCATCACCCCCTCGGGTGAAGACACTCCTTATCAGAGCATACATGGAGCGCACAACATGCATGTGTGTGTTTGTGTATGTGTGTGACAGAGAGAGAGAGAGAGAGAGAGAGAGAACATCAGTCTCTACATAGCAATACCACATTAATTAAAACACTTTTTCTTTAGAGAGAAATCAAAAGTAGAATTATAATTAAAAACATTATAAAAACATTGGGGAAAATAACTGAGTCGGTCTCAATGTCTTACGATGCCTCCTGGTGCAGCTCCATCAGCGGCACAGGGACAGATAATTGGGTGTCATTACCTCCTGGGGGAGCCCTTGGCATCCACCTCCAGGGACACTGAGTAACAGCTGAAAATGCTGCATTCTTTCAGACAGAGTCTTACACTGCACTTAAAATAGAACAACATTTACAAAGGTTATATGTATTTAAGGGCCGGAATACAAATATAATAGCAATCAAGTGCAGCATTTACAAACCTTGTACTTAAACAAGTACTCTGAATCCACTCAAGTCAAGTAAATACATGTGTTCTCATCATTAGGGTGTTCTGTATCTATTAAAAAACAACAACAATGTTTTTTGTGTAAGAAGCTTCTCCTTTGATTGTAAATGTATTTGGTTTGCCTTTGTAGCTGAGCTGGTGGACATCTAATCCTTCTTTAGATTCCCGAAAAAGGACACAAGGAGATTGCAGAATCCCCCAAACACTGAACCTTCACCTGATCTTCCCCAGAAGGACCAGGGCTGCTATGCTAACTATTGGGTAATGGCTTTTTTAATAGTTATGGCCAAATCAGGAGCACCGTGCATTACATATAAAAGGACCAGTCACCCAGCATTCCCGTCAACCCTGCTGCCCTCTCTGCCACCCCGGTAAGTACATGCATTGGCCATCAGCGTTAGCCTTTAGCTGATCCTGATGCTGAGTCACATTGAGTGTATGGGAATGTGTATTAGCAACCACTGCTTGTTAGCTCAAGCCAGGTTATCAAGTTCATTAATTAGATCAATGTAAAGTTCTTCTTCAGTGTGGTGCCGTTTTACCCGATGCAGCTCCACATACCTGTTATCGTGTCGGCTGGACCCTGTGGTTCTGGAGAACTAAGCTGCCATGCCTGGTGCCTACAAAGGAGAATGTGGGGAAGGTGTGGACCCCATGCCCTTCCTGGCTCCTTCTGAGAAGGAGAAACTGGAGGTCATGAGCAAGTCCTACGACATCAAAAAGTCCTGCTGGGTGAAGGATGAAAAGGAGGGCTTTGTTGCTGCCGAGATCCAGACTGACCAGGGTGACCAAGTTACTGTCAAGACAGTGAAAAATGCAGTAAGACCCCTGTTCGTTCTCCACATGCTTAAGGTTTTATGGATGCATTTAGATAGCATGCACTAGCTATCATGCCAGACAGCTAAAAGATTCTTCAAGGCAAATTTCAGAAGACACCAGTCAAGGGTCAACTGAATACTTGACGGTAGCTCCGGAGAAGTTATGGGATTTCCTTGGCTCTCTCCTCTAGACCCTCACCCTGAAGAAGGATGACATTCAGCAGATGAACCCGCCTAAGTTCTACCAGGCTAGTGACATGGCTAACTTGACCTTCCTTAATGAGGCTAGCGTCCTGGAAAACCTTCGCCAGCGCTATGTCTGCATGAGGATCTATGTAAGTCTTGATGGATTCTTTGGCCTTTTTGGGTCTTGGGCTGTTAAAAACTATACTGCCAACATTGTAAAAGTCGTAGTATCCCAGTTTAGTGCAAATTAATCTAAATGCATATATAAGAATTCAGTACCTGCTCTAAAATGATAAAATCACATATACTCACTTAATATTAAAACAGACTACCAGTGATCTCATTTCATGGCAGTCACTTTTTTAATGGTCTTGTGGGTTCAGTTCCCCAACCTTGCCGTTTGCGTGTGGGACTCACATGATCTCCCTTTGGGTGTGTGTGTGTGTGTACGTTTTCCTATGGCCTAAGGACCCGGTATAGAGAATTACCTGTGGATATGGATAGATCATGACAATGCCTTGAATAAGCCGTTATGGAATATGGATAATCATCCGTAATCATCTTATGTTATCTCGCCATTACCAACGTCTTAACCTCTTCCCTCCTCCAGACCTACTCTGGCTTGTTCTGTGTCACTATCAACCCTTACAAGTGGCTACCCATTTATGGGTCGAAAGTTGCCCAAATGTACAAGGGGAAGAAGCGTAGCGAGGCCCCTCCCCATCTTTTCTCCATCTCTGACAACGCCTATCATGACATGATGATGGGTAGGTCAACAGAAGGTCATTAATCCCCACAATGACCATAATCACTACATTAATAACTAACTGCATAATAGTTAGATGTTTGTATGAATCTTTGAATACAAGGCCAGCCCGCAAGTAAATGCAAGTAAATATGTACATGCTGTTTAGTAAACAAGCACCTTTAAAATGTTCCTACTCAAGTCATTTCTAATTATGCTACTGATTGTTTTGTTTTCACTACAGAGCATGAAAACCAGTCCATGCTGATCACGTGAGTATCTGCCACAAGACCTGGAACGCTGTGCAGTTCAAAGCGTTAAACATTGTTGTTTTAAACTCCTTCCATTCCTAGTGGAGAGTCTGGTGCCGGCAAGACTGAGAACACTAAGAAGGTCATCCAGTACTTTGCCAACGTGGGGGCCGCTGGGGGTAAATCGAATTCAGATTGCAAGGTAAGCAAAGATGATTCTGTCTTATAAATGATCCTCATTTATTACCATGTAGCCCTCCCAACTAGGACGTATAAATAGATTTTCTTTATACTAAGTGTTTTGTAATTGTGATATTCTGATATTCCTTTCCTCCTACTTTTTAAATATTATAGGGCTCCCTGGAAGATCAAATCATCCAGGCTAACCCTGTGCTGGAAGCTTTTGGCAATGCCAAAACAACCAGAAACAACAACTCCTCTCGATTTGTAAGGCTTAACAAAAACACCACATACTCCTTACCTTACCAACGTACAATGGTAAACTGCCACTCGAGAAAGAAATCCTGTGGACATGAAACTCAGTTTTAGTTGGTGAGACAGATTTAGGCAACACTTTGACTTAAAAAAATCTAAGTAATCAGGAAAAACCATTGAATTTTATTACTGTAATATCTTAATGATCCTTAATATATTATTCATTAAGGCAGAACTGTGTATAATGTTTTCCTATCATCCATTCCAGGGTAAATTCATCCGAATCCATTTTGGGCCAACGGCTAAGCTGGCTGGCGCTGACATTGAGACCTGTAAGCGACTGATTTCCCAGTGTATATGGCCCATTTGTTAAGCATTAATTATTGAGGGAATGTTTTAAAAAGCCTATTACTCTTTTCAAATTGCATTAGTTTATTACGCTAAAGAAAGGCTTAAGCTGTGACTGTGTTATTTAAACTGACTTCAGATCAGCTCTTGCGCCTGAAGCTTTACAACATAAGCATCTGGCATAAGCAAAGATATCAGGTAATCGTGTGGCTAAGAATGACTTCACGTTCCTCCCTCACAGACCTGTTGGAGAAGTCGCGGGTCATCTCCCAGCAAGCCGCAGAGCGAGGCTACCACATCTTCTACCAGCTACTGTCTGGGAAGAAGCCGGAGCTACTCGGTACACCTTCCAATGTTCCACGTTCAACAAATGTTTGGAAACGTTAGAAGGAGGGCGATTTGTTACCTCACAGCTGGCCGACTTGAGCTCATTAAATCAAATATTCTGCTGTCTGTTTGCACGATGGCCGCAAAACAACAGACACGGCATTCATCTGCAGGGCCCTCCAGGATCTTAATTTGAAAGATTTTTTTAAATAGAATTATGTCTCCCTTTTGATATTTTTCATAAATTGTAAAAATTCAGTTCAAAATACAGATGCCTCACTGTCCCATGATGGCGTCCTTTCCTTTGCCAGAGGCGCTGCTGTTAAATCCAGACCCAAAACAGTATGTGTGGATTTGCCAGGGCGTGACCACAGTGGACAATATGGACGACAGAGAAGAACTAATGCTCACAGATGTAAGTCTGTATATACATAAAAAAGATCTGTCTAGCTCCCTTTCTAAGAGTCATCCTACTAAAAGTCCTAATAACATAATAGAGAGGACTTCCAATGAGGAAGTCCACTTGTTTCAATATTAATTACACAATATAAATGAACAAATTACATGAGATTTGGAACATGTTCCCATGCCTGAAGCACCATATAAAGGCAATGATACCCTTTTATGCTGGTCTTACCCGCTATGAGGGGGTCTGCCCAACGTCGCTGGGATACCTAATGCACACTCTTGCTTTTCAAAGGAAGCTTTTGATGTGCTGGGTTTCACCACGGAGGAGAAGATGAGTGTCTACAAGCTCACAGGTGGCATCATGCACTTCGGCAACATGAAGTTCAAGCAGAAGCCGAGGGAGGAGCAAGCGGAGGTTGACACCACTGAAGGTGGGCTTGAGGCTCTGGCTGCACTCCATGCTTCCTGCATCCATCCATCTTTTCTCTGTCCTGTCTCTTATTGAGGCATTTTATCCCCCCTTTTTATGCTCTTTTCGTTGTCGGTGTAATTCTCAGCATGAAAAAAATAAATGCAATAATAAATTGCCTAAAAAAACTATGAATTTTAAGGGTAATGCTTTACATTAATTGTACATTCATAATGCCTTTATATTGCATTCCTATACAGCATCCTAACATACCTTAACAAATTTAACAACAATTATGATAACAAATATTATAATCGTGTAATTGTATAATGTTTGTTATTAATGTATATTATAGCTGTTGAAGTATTTTGGGGTGTTAAGGTATGCTTTAGAATGTCCTATAAATGCATAATGAATGCATTATGAAGTTGTGGTTAATAGAATATGCTTACTGTAATATCCATCCATTTTCCAAACTGCATATCCTTCTGGGTCGCGGGGGGTCCGGAGCCTATCCCGAAAGCTACGGGCATGAGGCGGGAAACAACCCAGGATGGGGGGCCAGCCCATCGCTTACTGTAATATGGATACAAAAAAGCAAACTACAAAAATTAGCAGTAAATAAAAATGACCCCCCCCCCCCGGCTTATTTTATCAGCAGTTTAATCTAACAATCACCTTTCAGATGCTAATTCCTTTACATTGCGTCTTTGGTTTTGTTCAGTGGCCGACAAAGTTGCCCACCTCATGGGAGTCAACTCCGGCGACCTGCAGAAGGGCATCACCAGACCTCGCGTCAAGGTGGGAAATGAATTTGTGACCAAAGGCCAGAATCAAGACCAGTGCGTCTACTCCATCGGCGCCCTGGGCAAAGCCATATATGACAGAATGTTTAAATGGATGGTCACCAGGATCAACAGGACCCTGGACACCAAGATGCAACGCGAGTATTTCATTGGTGTCTTGGATATTGCTGGCTTCGAGATCTTTGAGGTATGTCTGACAAGTGCAAACTTGCAGAAATGCATTTTTAAGGTCTCCCTCTCACAGTCATTCTGCAAATTTTTACTTGAACATTAACTCATTGATTACTTCTAGGAATTGTCATAATAAATACAGATATATTACAGTATATTTGTGAACAAAAAAATTTCTGTTCCCCTACTTGTAGTTCAACAGCTTTGAGCAGTTGTGCATCAACTTCACCAATGAGAAGCTGCAACAGTTTTTCAATCACCACATGTTTGTGCTGGAACAAGAGGAGTACAAGAAGGAGGGGATAGAATGGGTCTTCATTGACTTTGGCTTGGATCTGCAAGCTTGCATTGATCTTCTGGAGAAGGTGAGGAGACTCTAGTTGTTGAAACGTTCATTTGCTGGTTCAAGCAGAGGTCATAGGTCCATCAGCTGGGATTTTTTTTTAATCTTTGTCCTCCAATATTACAGCCAATGGGAATCTTCTCCATCCTTGAAGAGCAGTGCGTGTTCCCCAAGGCTACTGATGCCACCTTCAAGGCTGCCTTGTATGAAAATCATCTGGGCAAGTCTGGCAACTTCCTGAAGCCCAAGGGTGGGAAGAAAGGTCCCGAGGCTCATTTTGAGTTGATCCACTACGCTGGCACAGTGAGTTCAAAAGCCAGCCAGCTGTGTCATGTGAAGAGCCTTTGACTGACATACAAAGAGTGCCCTTCTCTGCCTACCTCTGTTTCTGCTCTCAGGTTGGGTATAATATCTCAGGCTGGCTGGAGAAGAACAAAGACCCTCTGAACGAGACGGTGGTTGGGCTCTTCCAGAAGTCCTCCATGCCTCTGCTGGCCCACCTCTTCAAAGAGGAGGAAAGCGCTGCTGGGACTAAAAAGCAGAAGAAGGGCTCTTCCTTCCAGACTGTTTCTGTTTTCTACAGGGTACTTACTCCTCATTTCTCTGATTGTCACCTGTCCTTTCCCCCAGTTTGACACCTCTGCGCCATCCCGCTTTGTACCTTCCCCTGATGCCTTCTCCCAACAGGAACAGCTGAACAAACTGATGAGCACATTACGCAGCACTGCTCCACACTTCGTCCGCTGCATTGTGCCTAACGAGTTTAAAAAATCAGGTAAGCTCTAGTACAATGCAAACCCTAAACGCATTCTGCTTTTCCTACCACAGCTGTTAGATGTGCTTTTATCACAGATATTGATGGAACGTTCTGGTGAGGCGTAGCATGATCATAGTCCACTCACTGGCTCCTGCGCTCTCACAGGTGTGTGTGACGCATTCCTCGTCCTGCACCAGCTGGCCTGTAACGGTGTCCTGGAGGGCATCCGCATCTGCAGGAAGGGATTCCCCAACAGGCTTCAGTACCCAGAGTTCAAGCAGAGGTCATGCCCTCTCATTTAATAAAGCTCCCGTCCAACACTGATGTACGGAAATGTGATGTATGTATGGTGAAAAGTGCTTCCTGTCAGGCACCTAGCAGAAAGTCAACAATCCAGACTGACTGAAAGCAACATGATTTATCTAAGCCATTCAGATTAATTGATTTGTGATTCCATTGGATCTCCCTTTTTCTTACCTCCACATTTGTGATTTATCGTCAAATAATAAACGCCTACCTTTTAAATGTAGCTCATGACAACGTATCTATCCATTTGTTACAGATATTACATCCTGAACCCGAATATCATCCCAAAGGGATTTGTAGACAACAAAAAAGCCTCTGAATTGATCCTGGGCTCCATTGGATTAGATGCCTCGGAGTACAGAATAGGACACACCAAGGTCTGACATGCAATTGTTTTCAGGTTGACTTCTGTCTATCTTTATGTCATATGTTCATAAAAACTCCTTGATACGTTTAGGTGTTTTTTCGTGCCGGAGTGTTGGCCAAGCTAGAAGATATGCGTGATGAACGTCTAGCAAAGATCATGACGATGCTCCAGGCACGCATAAGAGGTGTCCTCATGAGAATCGAGTTCAAGAAGATGGTTGAAAGAAGGTAAATAAAAGCACGGCATTAATTCCATTTCCAAACCTAAATACTTGCCTTCCATTTTCCATTTTTTCTAATTCTAACCTATGAATCAATGGGCCCTCTCTCTGGGATCTCATTCATTTCAGAATTGCTCTCATTGCTATCCAGCGAAATGTGAGGAAATTCCTGCAGCTTCGTTTCTGGGGCTGGTGGAAGCTCTACACAAAGGTATGTCCATGGTTCTCCAGGACTGTGTCCTTGTAATAGTCTTCAGTGGAGAACTTGTTATCTGTGCGCTCTCAGGTTAAGCCACTACTCAACGTGGCTCGTCAAGAAGACGAGCTGAAGGCCAAGGAGGAGGAACTGCGACTTGCTATGGAGAAAGCGCAGGAGATGGTTGAAAAAGTTAAAGACCTGGAAGAGAAACTGGTGACTTTCTCCAAAGAGAAGAATGACCTCTCTTTGGCACTGGCAGCTGTAAGTGCTCTGCTGAAGATTGAAGATCCTCCATCCAGTCATTTAAACCCTTTACACGTGGAACAGTTATCAGGTACATTACTCTTCGTGATCTTTATTTTCTTGCTTTTAGGAACAAGATACGACAGCAGATGCAGAGGAGCGCTGCACACAGCTGATGAGGCAGAAGATCAACCTGGAGGGTGAAATCCAAGACATGAAGGAGCGTCTGGAGGAGGAGGAAAGCACAGCAAACAGCCTTGGTGCACAGAGGCGCAAACTGGAGGTAGAGCTCAATGATCTCAAGCGGGATCTGGAAGAGCTGGAGTCCACCTTGGCAAAGACTGAAAAGGAAAAGCAGGTAGGGAGGTAAACTATAGAGCAGGGCTATTCAACTCAGGCCTCGATTCCAAATCCAGGCATTGTTTTCAGTTCTCCCAGGTAGTTAGTTTAATAATTACTGATTCTGATTGGTCAGAGGCTTCACACCTGGCTCACAGGTGAAGGAAGGCTGGAAAATCAGCAGGGCTCGGCCCTTGAGGACCATGAGTTGAATAGCCCTGCTATAGAGGCTGTGAGGCATCAACATTATATTTTTCATTGAGAACATATGGCAATCTCCCAATCCAGTCCTCGGGGACCCCAGACAGTCCACATTTCTGCTTCCTCCCAACTACCAGCACACCCATACCAGTAGGTGTTCTAGATTGGCTGGGAGCTGGTAGGTAACAACAATGTGGACAGTCTGCGGTCCCTGAGGATTGGATTGGGAAACCCTGACATATGTGAATAGATTCAATAGCATGAGCAATTGCTATTAACCTGTACGATTCATCCATCATCCAACTGTCAATATTGTTCATGGTTACTGCAGCCCAAGGACATAAGAGAGAGTTTGATATTGGGGGGAAACGGCTTAATAAATAAAATGCGATGATCTATTTTTTCTGAAATGAAGCCAAATTAAATATGGTAGGGACCTATCCCCCCTGAATGCCACACCCTTGCTGTAGCCTATCCCAGGCAGCGAAATGCACAATGCTGGGGTACATCCTGTATGGGGTGCCAGTCTATCATAGGGCTCATACATGCACACGCAATGGGAAACTGCATGTTTTTGGACTGTGAGAGGAATCCATAATACCCAGAAGAAACCCTCGCAACACAGGGAGAGCATGCAAGTTCCACACAGAGCTGGGATGCTGAATACCAGCCTTGTAGGTTTGAGGCAATAGTGCTACTCACTGAGCCTCTGAACCTCTGTGCCAACACAACATTCATACAGGGAACAGGACTGAATCCAAAGTGGCATGTTCTTACATGTCCTTCCTGACAAGTATTTATTTATAAGGTGCATTCTTTTAAGAAAAGAACACATTTGCATAATCTTTGAAAAGGCAGTTTCACAAGGGACTCCTCATATCTGAATTAGTCTGAGATTTCCTTTAGAAAATACCACTTTGACAGTGAGAAGATCAACAATGTTACCACCGAGCAGCAGCACCAATGTTTCATGATCATTCCAGAGCCTGGACCAGAAAGCGCGCACTCTTACAGGAGACCTGGGCCAGAGGGACGACACCATCGCCAAGCTGCAGAAGGAGAAGAGAGCTCTGGAGGAACTTCAGCAGGTGAGCAACAGCTCCAGGAGATAGAAACATCACTAATGAATCAATTTATTCCAACATCAGATCAGTGAAATTGCTGCAATGTCATGATCCCATCTTCGTTTCTTATATACTTCATTCATCTTAATTTTTCCATGCTGATGGATCTTGTTTCTTTGGACAGAAAACTTTGGATGATCTTCAGACAGAAGAGGATAAGGTCAACCACTTAACTAAGAACAACAGCAAGCTCACTGCTCAGCTTCATGAGGTTAGCATTGCAAATACATAGACTGGTATGTACTAATGGAGGTTGATTTCATCTCACTGTTGGATTATCAATTCTTGTTCTGTCAGGTGGAAGACAACTGGGATCAAGAGAAGAAAATCCGTGCTGAGGTGGAAAAAGCTCGTCGAAAGGCAGAAGGGGACCTAAAAATGACAATCGAAAACCTCAACGAAATGGAAAGAGCCAAGATCGATCTGGAGGAGGTTGTTAAAAAGTATGTTTCTTCATATATATGTAATCTATATGCAGTACATAAATCACTGTGTAATAATTCGCCATGAATCATAAACCCAACACAGCTTACTGACAGCAAAAGTAAACCAGAAACATAAGTAACCACAAGGGGTCTAAACACAGGCAGAAAAGTAACAAGAATTAAACCAAGGTTAGAACTAAATCAGGGAAACACACTAGGAACTAACAAAGGTGCTGCAATACTGAGGAAGGAATGGGAAGCTAGTGACTCCTGCTGGCCAAACAGGGAATATACACATGGGACAAGGCAAGAACTAATCCTGACACACAATAACCATTTTGGTAAACTACTGCATTGTAATAAAACTAAGCAGTCAAATTGCTAATCTAACCACAATAAGGAAACTTCTATTGCCCAAAATTTTTCAATGTCATTGAAGGAGAGATTTGGAGATCAATCACATGAACACAAAATGGGAGGATGAGCAGTCGCTGAACTCCACTTTGCAGAGGAAGCTGAAGGAACATCAGGTAATGTAAGACGAAATGACAGAAGTGCCACCATCAATGGTACGGCTTAATCTGCGGAAGAATTCTTTAATAACTTACACTGATTCTTAGGCCCGCATTGAGGAGCTCGAAGAGGAGCTGGAAGCCGAGAGGGCAATAAGAACCAAGGTGATGTCTGCAGAATTCTAAGTTGTTTGTTGACCTGTTCTGAGTTATGGGCTCTACAAGGTATAACTCTTGTTGTTCTATTCAGGTAGAGAAACAGAGGGCAGATCTATCTCGTGACCTGGAAGACATTTCAGATCGACTCGAAGAAGCGGGAGGGGCCACCGTGGCTCAGGTGAGGCCAAAAAAAAACCTGATATCGTCAGCTGAAGCTTCACAAACATATCTCAATCTCTTACACGCAAAAGACTTCTTGATGTTGTAGATCGAGCAGAACAAGAAGCGGGAGGGCGAGCTGCTGAAGCTGCGAAGGGAGCTGGAGGAGACAGCTCTGCAGGCGGAGGCGACTGCCTCCGCGATGAGGAAGAAGCACTCAGACTCCATGTCCGAGATGGCCGAGCATGTGGAGAACCTACAGAGGGTCAGGCTCAAGCTGGAGAAAGACAAACAAGTCATGAAGGCTGAGATCGATGACCTCAACGCCACGATTGAGTCAGTTCAGAAATCGAAGGTGAAGAGCACAACTATTGACAAGCACAGACGAAAAGCAAAATGTATCTTGTTTAGCTGCCAGCTTGTCTGAGTTCAGCGCTGACCTAAGCTATCCCTCTCCTGCCTGTAGCTGAATTCTGAAGCTCATGTTCACAAGTTGGAGGACAACCTGGCTGAAGTTATTGCCAGACTGACGGATATGGAGAAGAATCAGACGGAGCTAAATGCCATTAAGATTCGCCTTTCGGGTAAGAGAATCTCAAAATAAGATATAAGCTGCAAGTCATCACTGTCAGCATTGCTTTTAGATAGATATTTGGCTACCCGCAGAATGATTAATTTAATGTTATTTTAATATGGTCATTTTTGAACACATTCTTGTATCAATTCCTTTCTTGTAGCTGAGAACAGTGATTTGAGCCGTGAGTTAGACCAGACGCAGAGCAAGCTGACCCAGATCTCACGTCTAAGAAGTTCTCTGGTCTCTCAAACCGATGAGCTCAAGAGGCAGGTGGATGAGGAATCCAAGGTAATGAACATCACCTAGACATAGAACTTGATGACTCAAAGTCATCAGAGCAGAAATGTAATCTGATAGTTACACAGTAGTGATGCGCGGGTCGTCTCGTAACCCGCGGACCCCGTGGGTAACCCGCGGGTCGGGTTGGGGCGGGTAAAGAAATTGTCACTTTATTTGCGGGGCGGGTTGGGGCGGGTCATTAAAAACAAAATTAAATAAAAAATCCATGTATGTTGCGTGCAATTCCCTATAGCCTATATTAAATATTTGGGAATATCTATTTTCATATTTTATTAAGTTCTTTGATAAGGTTACGTCACGTGACAAGTCACGAAAGCGCCAAGCAGTAGTGATGCGCGGGTCGTCTCGTAACCCGCGTATCCCGCGGGTAACCCGCGGGTTGGGGCGGGTAAAGAAATTGTCACTTTATTTGCGGGGCGGGCCAAATAATTTCATAAAAGCGGGACCCGCGGGTTGGAAAAATACCCGACCCGCGCATCACTATTACACAGGGTTATCAGGAGCTGACCAAGTACACTGTTCCTTCATTCCAGGCTCGAAGCACAGCAGTGGTGAGCCTAGCTAATGCACGCCATGACCTGGACTTGATGAAGGAGCAACTGGAGGAGGAGCAGGAGAGCAAGGCTGAGATGCAACGTCTCATCTCCAAACTCAACTCTGAGGTGACCACTTGGAGGACCAAGTATGAGACGGATGCCATCCAGAAAACCGAGGAGCTGGAAGAGACAAAGTAAGTTGATCCCAGCATTACAGCCCTTTTTCATCGCCGAGGTCGTCTTCGGTTGCAGGCTTGTCGAATGATGTCCGAGAAAAGGGCTAAACTCTTTTTGCAGACGTAAACTGGCGGCCAGGCTCCAGGAGGCTGAGCAGGCAACAGAAGCAGCACAGGCCCGAGCAGCCAGCCTGGAGAAGGTCAAGCAGAGGCTGCAAGGAGAGGTGGAGGACCTCACTATTGACCTGGAGAAGGTACCGTATTAGTTGACTGGAATCTGACGTTTCAGGAGTGGTTTCAATATTCTACCACAACTTGTCTAGTCCACACCACTGAAGGAAATCTGTCCAGTAAGAGGAACATGCCACTGTTTCCCTCTGCAGTCCAACGCAGCGGCTGCAGCTCTAGACAAGAAGCAACGCACCTTTGACAAGATGATCGCAGAGTGGAGCCAGAAGTGCGAGGAGCTGCAGCTGGAACTGGAGAACTCTCAGAAAGAGTGCCGCTCCTACATGACAGAGGTCTACAAACTCAAGACCTCTTATGAGGAGTCCCTCGACCACTTAGAGACCGTGAAGAAGGATAACAAAACCCTCACCGGTATGACTAACCAGACATTAAAGGGAAATATATCAGCCTTTTGATATCTGTAGATGCACAGGGAAGTGACTCTGAAGTTGCCTTGTAGATGAGATCAAAGATCTTGTGGAGCAGCTTGGGGAAGGTGGGAAGAATGTACATGAGTTACAGAAGATTAGGAAAAAGCTGGAGGTAGAGAAGGAAGAACTTCAGTTGGCCCTGGAAGAGGCCGAGGCTTCCCTGGAGGTAAAAGGCTTCAGCTGATTTGATATCATGAATTTACTTTTTCACCTATCTGTTCACATAGTTCTCTGTTAATTTACACCATATGATCCTCCACATTTTTAACTAGCAGACTATTATCTTGAAGATTAAGAGGATTGTTTCTTCCGCATCCTGTTTATGAGAATTTCGTTGTGATGTTTGACCGTGCTGTTAGGTCGAGGAGAGTAAAGTGGTTCGCGTCCAGCTGGAGTTGGCTCAAGTCAAGGCTGACATTGATCGCAGAATTCACGACAAGGAGGAGGAATTTGAGATTACAAGGTCAGGACAGCTCCTATGTCTATATTGGGTTAAACTTAACAGCAAAAAATACATCCTAAACCATATATTGTTCAACAATACATTTATTACAATTATTATTAAGATCCATAGACAAAATGTCACTGTATTTATAATTTGTCTCATTAATTTGACCTGTTTTACTGATATGAAACCATGTACTTTATTTGACTTGACACTCACCAGGAAAAATCACCAACGTGCAGTGGAGTCCCTGCAAGCCAGCCTCGAGGCAGAGGCCAAAGGCCGAGCCGAAGCCCTTCGGCTGAAGAAGAAGATGGAGGCTGACTTGAACGAGATGGAGATCCAGCTGGACCACGCCAACAAGAACAACAGCGAGCTGGTGAAGACCCTGAAGAGACTGCAGCAGCAGATCAAAGTGAGACTAGTGGCGTTAGACTGATCCACCTCACACCCAGAACCCAGCAGGACCCACCCTGTCGCACTCCTAGACTACAATGCGGCTGCTTCCCCACAGGAAATGCAAGTGCAGATGGATGAGGATGCACGGCAGCACGAGGAGCTGAGGGAGCAGTACAACCTGCAGGAGCGCCGCCTCAGCTTGCTGCAGACGGAGATAGAGGAAGTGCGCAGCGGCCTGGAGGCCTCCGAACGCTCCCGCAAGCTGATCGAGCAGGAGCTGGTGGAGGTCACTGAGAGACACAACGAGCTTAAAGTTCAGGTAACATCTCTGCATAGAAGTACTCAAACACAGAAAAAGGCATACCAATATGCTAAAGAATAGTTGTGTGATGTGTGATGTCCTGTACCTGCCTGCTGATTGGGCAATTTTCAGTCATAGCATAGAATCTATGGTGGCTCATCCAATTGAATTTGACCCATTTGCTTTTTTGATGGATAAACAATTACTTTTCTCCCTCAGAACCAGAGTTTGATCACTATCAAGCGCAAAATGGAGACAGACATGACACGCCTCACCAACGAGAATGAGGAGCTCATCTGCGAGTTCCGCACAGCAGACGAAAAAGCCAAGAAAGCCATCACTGATGCAAGTGTCCCGTTCACGGCCCTCCCGGTTCCTTCTGAGGCACCTGGTAGGTCCTCGCTGCTGACTTACTGCTGGTTGTGTGTCATTCCCAGGCCACCCGCATGGCGGAGGAACTGCGCCAGGAGCAGGAGCACTGCGTACACCTGGAGAAGATCAAGAAGAGCAACGAGATCACAATCAAAGACCTGCAGCTCAAGGTGGAGGAGGCTGAGGAGCTCGCTCTGAAGGCCGGCAAGCGAACCATCCAAAAACTAGAGACTACGGTGAGCTCTGCTTCTTCTCGAGGCGTCTGGGCAACATTATATACAAGACGACAAGATCCCCCTTAATAAATATATAAATGAAGTTTATTTGCTTGAGATGCCTCTTGGTGTCGTGTGCAGATCAAGGAGCTGGAGACACAGCTGGACACGGAGCAGAAGCGCCACGTAGAAACGGTGAAGGACCTGCGGAAAAATGAACGACGCCTCAAGGAACTGATCTTCCAGACTGAGGAAGACCACAAGACTAACCACCGCTTGCAGGAGCTGGTGGAGAGGCTGCAAAGCAAACTCAAGGCCTACAAGAGGCAGATCGAAGACGTGGTCAGTAAAAAGCTATCAAGTGTGAAGCTTCGAGCGTCAGGTCAGTTGTCCTGAAATGGTCTTTGATTGCTATTGCTCCTCTGCAGGAAGAGCAGGCAAACACTAGTCTGTCCAAGTACAGGAAGACGGTGCATGAACTCGACGATGCGGAGGAGAGAGCAGACATGGCTGAGATGGCCCTGAACAAGCTGAGAACCAGGAACCGTGCCTCAGTGGGGAAAGGCTTCACCTCTGTGGAGATCATCCAGGTGTCCAAGTCCTCTTCCAAGGGTGCCTCTGAAGATTAAAGCTCTCCTAGCATGGGGTGAGTGGTCTGATGATGGGGTTCAGCACAGCAAAGAGAACGGCCCCAGTCCCTCAAGGAATTCCATGGATTTACATTACATAACTGAAGGTTGTCCTCCTGTGGCAACTGTTAGAAAAAACTGTTTTGTTGTGTCTCTAGCACTTTCTGCCATATTCGTAAAAACACCGGTGTCATATAATTTCCTGCTGACTGATGGATCATATTTGCAAAAACACTTTGTATTATCTGTCCATAAATGTCACGACAATGTCAGTAGGTAGTTAAAAAAACTTTAAACAAACAGTGCCTTTGTTTAATCTCTAACCACTGACAGATTTTTGTCACAATATTTTACAACAACATAAGCAGAGAACTTCTACAGTGCGCTGAAGTACATGTACAATTTCTGGCTGGGAATTTATTGTCAGTATAATGAGAAATTTTATAGCAAGAATTTGAATATCACATTGATGTTTTCTTAGACTGAGTGGCTGAAAGTATAAATGATGAAAACTGTTGGTTTCTGTTGTTCCAGGGTAATACTCACCATATATGCTCTCTCTGGAAGCGCCAGTGCAGAAAAGAAGCTGAAATGTCAATTTCCAACACTCAAGTCTTAAATTTAGTCTTGCCTGAAAGTATCATTCCTTGAAGGCCTAAGCCTGATTCTTCTCTAACGACAGTGTTTGAAGTGACCACCAGGGGGCGCCAGTCTCACACATCTGACGGAGAGAGTAACATTGTGCCACCCATCTGCCGCGTGTCCGTTTGTGGGTTTGCTGTCATACTAATAAACACGAAGCAGAAACGTACTGTCTCTGTCTTTATGTTCCTTGATATTGTCAGGAGACCAAGATTTCTGTATAAGATACTCAGTGAGGGCGAGCTTTTGCAGCTTAATTGTAACTACCAAAATCAAAAATATAAATGCAATCACATTAGATCTAAGTTTGGGAACAATGATGTGAAATTACAGGGCATTTACCATCAAATATGTAATATCATGTATTTTGCAGGCTTTACTGTGCAAACATAATTAGAAATGCCTGCCAAAAGGCCTATATCAAAATATACCCAGGGAATCACATTTTATTAGCAATTCCCTTACTCCCTGAAAAAATCACCATTTCTAAAAGGGCTCTGGTAGTACAGGCTCCTCTGAATGCAGGAGGCGTGTATACAGGGATGCCGCGCGGGGAGCAAGTTAATATCATTTCTCTAAACAGCCATTGGAGGTGGAGCATGTGCAACCAGACAGATGCATCTGATGATGCTGAGGCGGTCACAACCATTTTTTAATGAAAATAAAATAAGAAGTTTAAAAAGCATCAGCGTACCCATGACATCTTATAAATGTTGGTAGACGGAAGAGAAGGTGCAAGGGCTGGGGCAGTGTAATTAAAATAAACCTGAAAATCACCGAAAGCATAAAATGTCACTTTGTTACAAGAGGGAGACCGTTCATACAGAGGTTTACATAAAAACGCCTTAATAGCAAAGTCGCTACATTGTTACTATCCAGACAAGTGCGATACAAACACGCCTATTTTCTGAATGGCGGTGGCGTCTTCTCTTCACGCATGCGCACTGGGTGCGTCCTCCCTCGTCCTGGCACGCATGTTCTTTGTCGTTTCCTGGATGCCTTGACAGTCCGGAGCAGGAAACCTACCGGGGTGGATTCGTGTCGACTGCCCAGAGTCCGCGAATTCAGGTCCGCAGAAGTCCGACGGGGGGCGATCCAGGAATATTGCGGAAGGCTTAAGGCAAGTAAACGAGACGTAGCCCGTTTGGTCTGCTGCTGGGTCCCGGGAAAAGCCGGTTCTGGATATCACTGGAATGGGGGGTGGCTGCGGCCTCGATTCATCCATTCCCGTCCCGGAGTTATGGTGTGCTTGCACTCCATCTAATCTCATTTTTCGGCTACTTTAAGGTTTAAAAAAATTGTGTACCTTAATGCGAATGCCTGACGGACAAGTGATCCCGTGCAGCATACGATCGGCTAGCAAACACTTCGGCTGATGACGCCTCCCCACCCAGACCGGTTTTGTCGGCCACCGTTGTGGAGCCACCCCCGCCAGCGGGGACCGAGCGAAAGGGCATCCGATCGCCGTGATTTAGAGCCGATCTCCGTCCGCGATCTCCTGCCGGACAGCGGCTCTAATAGAGAAACATCATCGCGTCCGCTGGTGTTATGGGGGGGGGGCGTAAATCACAGCCTTGTTGCCTTGCCCTTCGATCGCGCTGAAATGTAACACTCCCCCGTCTAATGTTGACGTCTAATGTCACCACCTATGTCTTGTAGATATGTACGGCACCTAAAAAAGTTCATGTCTGGACAGCGTGTTGACTGACTCATAAAAACACTACAGTCGGAGCTGCAAACTTTTACTCCTCTGTCAGCTAGGTGGCGAAATAAAACTATATAAGTGATTATATGCTTTACAAGACATGGGTATGACACACATCCATGTTATATATGCCTGTTTCTTATCACGCAAAGAAACGGTTTGTGCGGACCTCAGATTTACACCTCGGTGCTGCTCTACGTCTTCACAGGCAGCTGGGAAAAAAACGTCCTGTTCAAAATGTCTCTGCATCAGTTCCTCTTGGAGCCCATCACCTGTCACGCCTGGAACCGCGACAGAACCCGTAAGTAAGCCGGGCTGCTGAGCCGCCTGTGCCGCACTCAGCTGCGCATCTCACCGGCCGTTTTCCGTCTCTGCTCAGAAATCGCCATTAGCCCCAACAACCACGAAGTCCACATCTACAAGAAGAATGGAAGCCAGTGGATCAAAGCCCACGAGCTGAAGGAACACAACGGACACATCACAGGTACCAGACTTGTATGTCTTAAAATATTAAGTAACATGCTAAAAATTGATATTTACCTTTCAGGATCAGCTCTCTTTATGAAAGTTTTATCGTCAAATTCATTCAGGTCCAAACATTTTGGCTGCCACCTCAAATGGGCTAGAGGGAATCTTTCTCTTTTTTGTTCTTTTCAGGTTTGTTGTGTCACTGCTATTATAGTCATTATATGCATGGTATTATATGCAGGTCTATAATTACATGGTTACCTCATTGTGAAGGATTTTTAAGAGGTTGATTGAGCTGCAGACTGGTATTCAAGAAGTTCAGTGTTTTCCCTGCCCCCTTAACCAGGGGTGTTGCTAGACATTTTGGGCCCCATGAAGGCATATCATATTGGGCCCCCCAGTCCAGACCAATCCAGTTACTTTCCAAATTTTCTTGGCCCCCTGTCACTCAGGTGCCCTTGGAATCATCCTAAATTCCCCTGCCTTACGGCGCCCCTGCCATTAACATGTAAGACTTTCATCTAGTGCTGAAAAACACCAGGAGCTGGGAGGGAGCAAAAACGTGAGCTGTGGCTGTCTGGGGGGACCACTTTGAGAAACACTGCTGTAGGCGACCGAATGTGAGGTTCCTTGTAATCACTGGCAGCCAGGGGGATAATGAGGGGGATCCCAGACAAACTGCTTTTATCCTGGAAGAGGAGTAAGGATGGATAGAGGTGAAATGAGAAGCGAGTTTACAGCCAGTGGGAGCCCTGTGTGGAGAACCACCACTGGGTCTGTTCCACTCTCACGTTAAAGACATCCTGACATCGAATAATCTCGTATTTTTTAAATCTCATATTTCTTAAAGGTTTGTCTGTTTTTATCCATAAAACAATGTGGGGTCCTTGGAAAGTTGTGAGGGTCAGAGAAGCGTGTCCCCGACACCCACGTGTGCTCTGCCCTGTGCCGGTTCTGCCCAGGCATCGACTGGGCCCCGAAGAGCGACCGTATCGTGACCTGCGGCGCTGACCGCAACGCCTACGTGTGGAACCAGAAAGATGGGGTCTGGAAGCCCACCTTGGTCATCCTCAGGATCAACCGTGCCGCCACCTTCGTCAAGTGGTCACCCCTGGAGAATAAGTTCGCTGTGGGCAGTGGGGCGCGGCTCATCTCCGTGTGCTACTTTGAGTCTGAGAACGACTGGTGAGTTCCCCGTGTCAGGCTTCGGAGTCATGGCGAGGTCTGGTCCTCTGCTTCAGTCTAGCCAGACTGACATGAGGGTTAACCATGAGAGATGTTCCAGTTATGTGCTATATATTACATGTAGGGGAATCACTGGCTGCAAGGCAATTCGATTCGATTTCAGTTATTTAGGGAACAATTTGATGCTTCAGAAATTTTCACAAATTTATATCACAATTCAATTAGATTAATCGATTATTCGATTATTTTTGATAAACTAAATTCAAACCTTTTTTAACTTCTTTGAAAAAAAATTCACAATACAGTGATACTTAATCCGTTCCGGACTCCGGATCGAATCCTAAAAAGTTCGAGTTCTGATCCCCCCCAAAATTACACCTAAATGTTTTTTTTTATTATTAAGCATTTAAACACAAAATGAACAGGATAAAACAAGAAGAGCATTTTTTTCTTAATGGCTTCCAAAACAATAAAGATCTTATCCCAACATTACCCCTGTCCTGCCCCGATCGTCCGCTCCTTCCGTGTGCCACGCCCCCTCGTTAACCTCGTGTGGGATCCCCATGTGATCAGCTGTTTCTGGTTGTTGTCATTAGTCCACTGTATTAAGTCCGCGTTTCAGTTTGTTTCCCCAGTCCGGTCATTGGGTGCGTTCGACTTGCTTACAGCGCTGGCTTAAAGCAACGCATTCTGATCCTGACACAATGCATTACGGTTAGATGCATTGCGACCTCTCATCCAGCTGCACAAACTGGAACCGCCTCCGTGATGACACACCTTTGCCCTTATTGGCTGAAGAGTTTAGTTACACGCATGATGTTTGTATCCCAGGCAGTTCCAATGCGTAATCTGCTATTTCTCCCGAATATCACGTAAAGCAGTGAGAACTGGTTTTCAGTTAATTTACCTGGTAAAATAAAGTTTAAATAAATGACATAAATGCTCTAATAGTACACGTAAGTTAGTGGTTTATTTATTGTTAGTTACTGTAATGTTGCGCTGCTTTATTTGGTTAATCTTCCAGTGTGTAAAGAAGGCATTCAAGTAAGAATTGCATTGTAGTATGACTAATTTCCTGGCGCGTACGATTTATATTAGGTCAGCGTTCACGGTTCGACTTCTGATATTCAGATCGAGTTCTAGGTCAAACTGGTTTGTTCGACTTTCAAGAAATTCGAGTTCTAGTGAGTTCGAGAACTGAGATACCAGTGTATTACCATGATAACTTAATTACACACAATTAATTCAATACAAAGAAAGTGGAATCTTGGAACATTAATTTTTATTGTTGTCATTACATTTTCTAAAGGCCAGCCAATGAACTGTACAGGAGGTAAATGTGTAGACAGGAAGTAAACATGTAGAGGAAGGGCTGCCTGACTTTGCCTGCAGTGAAACTTGCTGAGCTTGCCGATGCAGATTAGCAGAATGATGTTATATCTTTTTATTATTCTGTGGAAAACAAAACATCAATTTGTGGGCCAGATTTAAGAATGATTTATAAAGATATTGTGGGTTGGTATTTTGAGACCTCTTATAAATGGCAAATGAGCTGATGAAATCCCTCGCTTTCCACTATGGGAAATGACTGATTGCCCGGTGCACTCTTCTCCGTTATTTTAGTAATTGTGTCTTTAGGTCTGGGGCTGCTAACTTTTAATACTGAAAAAGTTTAAATATTGGGCAATATCGGGCAATATTGGCACACGTCAGACCAATGCCGAAATCTTTATTTTTAACCCATATCAGCCGATTCCAATATGTCAACCAATATATTGTGCATCTCCAGTGTTGGGTAAGTTGCCCA